CGATTTCATACATTTTTGCTGCTTGCTCGTTTCAAGAAAGGTTGAAAAGCGGGTCTAATGCCGCGCTTAACCCCAGACAGACATGTCCTTTCATCCCGAACGAACGAGACTGCATCATGTGATGTGACTTACAGTAAGCCGAGGGAGGAGATCTGTCTCTTCTCTCTGATTGACGTCAACGACAGGCTGTCCATCCACGATACTACATGTGGCTGCCGCGACAACCCCTTTCATTGGGATACCAGCGTCCGACATCGCCAAAGAGGCGGCATTGACGCAAGCAGCTAGATGAGAACCATCACTCTAAAACAGAACCAACTTACTAGTTACTATGAACATTTTTGCAGAAACACCGGAATCTTTTTTAAATTTTTGGAGTTTGCCTCGGTAATATTTTCTGGTCCTTCTTCACTTTTTCGCGTTTTGCCTCTGGTGAAGTACTGAGACAGCACAACAATCCTATAAGTTACTGGTAATCAATAAACACACCACAGCTTCTGCGAGTGAGCGCAAAAAAAACGTCATAAGTAGATCTTAACGGCGTTCAAATTCAAATCCACAAGAAAATAATAAATGGCCCTCACAGAGGAAGAAAAAAGTAAAGTCCGTCGAAAACGCTCTAAATTGACCCTTTCGGTTTCGAGCATTGTACGAGCAGGCAGCGAGCGGGGCATCTCCGTACAATTTCTTGGTGATTGATGCGTGACGGCACACTTTAATCCCCTTTTACAGTACTGTCGTCATTACCGTCTTTATCGTCTTCCAGATTGTAAAGTGGGCGGGAAGCACGTGCAAGAGGCGGTGTGTACCTAACGTCAGGAGCTTCCAGCGTCCGCCTACTTAATTCAATGGGGCGAAAGATGAACATAATAGTCAGCTGTGGAGCTTCGCATCTCACGCGAGGCAGAGCGGATACCCATCAAGCAATTACAAGCTTCTTCTCTGATGGAGATTTCAGTTACTCAACATGTTGACCGTTGTAATCAATTTAACCAAGTAGTTAAAATAACAAAACACTAAAAATTAAAAGCCAAACGCAAGATTGCTACATTAGATAAAAACATATTAAATTAAAAAAACCAATTTATAAAACAAGCACTAATAAATCAAAGAAAAAATACAAATTAAGAAAGAAAAATAATATAAACCGATGAAAATACAAAATGGATAAAAAATCCTGGAGCTCATAACAGCAACAAAGGGGACTCAAGCGAAAGTCATACTCCCTAATGAAAGGCTTCGGTTTAATCATCACTACGCCTCATTTGGGAATATCCATGACTACTTGCCAATTCATACCTGAATGATCTGACAGTAGATATCAATCTGCGAAGTTGGAAACAAATGCGTGAGTACTGCAGCCTCAAATGTCTTCTCAATAAGACGCTCAATTTCCATAGATTTACGATCGGCACGAATTCGTTGTCTACGTTCAACGCCAGCAAAACGAGTCATACTAGAAAGAAGATGGAGTTAGGCTACTCATGCTTACTTGGGAAACGACATTTCAAATCTGGAGGAACACAAACCTGAACATACAGTTGATAGAGCAGCGATCTTCTAGCTGACGGGACCTTTTACCTTCGAATGGTCCGTATACAGCACATAAGATCTTCAAATGCGATTCATTAGAACAAAAAACAGAAGAAAAATGGAGAAAGAAAGAGGGTAAGCAAGCGGTTAAGAGCATGTAGGGTTTGAAGGGCAATATGTCAAAAAGTGAGATACCCTTTCATACGAAGAACCCTTTTATACCCCAAAGGAATTGGTTCCACAGAGTACCTTGCTCCGTAGGCCCAGGAAAATGCTGTCTTCCCCATCAAAGCGCCTCCCAGGCACTGGTCGCAGTCTGCGGCCTTGACGAAACGGCGGTTGGGAGAAAAGCAAAGCAGTAATAGATCGGAGAATCGCCAACCGCTAATTTCGCTAAACCCGGCCGCGTTCGGGCGCGTCTGGGGCGAACAAGCCAATGAGAGTAGTATCAATTTCGCAGGCGCGCACGACACGTCGGATCGAGCGCTAGCGTCCTCGTCGAATCATAACACGTCGCGGTTTCGGCGTAAACGCCCGTCGATTACGCATCAAGAACCCTTTCGCCCAACCGCTAAACTCTTTGCCCAACTGCCAGTCGATAAGTATCGAAAGCTTTTCGCCGAACGGCCGCCCAGAGAAACGCTGGGCCGCAGATTGCTGCCTAATACCTAGCCTCACCACGACGCGCATCTCTCCTCGTTCGCCGCGCTGATCATAGCCGACTCAGATTGCTGAGTATGAATGCTCGGCCTCATTATGAAATGAATGCCTCCTGATCTGCTTCAAAAGTAATAAATAGAGAAGATCGCGCTACCTTTTGTGCCTCCTGCTTTCAACCACACGTCAACGGCCGATCCCTCTGCATCTCGCCACGGTACCTAGGGCCACACTGATATTTCGTATCTGATGCGGACGTCTACCATCAAGACGAAAGCCGTGTTCGGATATAATATTCATAGCTTATATATGACGCTCTGATTTATCGAAATCTGAAATAAAAAGACATTTCCGCAGCATGCGAACTGATAATCCACAGAAAGACTAACATACTCAGACTTAACTTCTTCGGCTTGCGGGTTGCTCCTTCTTGAACTTCCTTGTTAGCTCTGTTTTTCTTTCTTGTTTTCTGCCTTCTGCTTTGCTAATTTCCTTGCTTCTCTGGCCCGCGTTGGCGCTTGCTTTGTGGCCTTCGGTAGGTGCGTTCTCCTTGTATTGACAGAATTTTTGGTGCTTGCTTCTTGCGAATACTAGCAAAGACACGCATTTACTCGCGATCTGTTCGTTCAATGCCCTGAAGCTCATCGAAGTAAACATAAAGAAAGTTACAAAAAGATACCAAAAAATGGGAGGTTATCAGTAAGAGTTCCCTAATGTTCAAGCTCTAATGGGCAAAGGGCTTATCTGTGTCCACAAGAAATCGAAACTACACATAAGATTCTGGTAGGTCACCATTAGAGTTAGCGCCAACGAGACAGATGATTTTGCGAATGAGAAGAACAGTTTTCGAGAAAAAGTGAAATAATGAAGTACTGGTATAGAAAAGTAACCGAAAAAGGACATGTATCGTTGAGGATAATCCGCAATCAGGCAGAATGGGCGATAAAGACCGGATGAAGGGCCGACTCTGCCCGCTCGATCGCGGATTCCAAAATATACTGGTGAGCGGTGTCTGCCGTCGCTGATCTTATCCTCTGTTGCTGATTGTGAACACGGTCTCAGTTCTGCTAACGTAAAACCCTACCCCATAGGGCTCGGTCCCCAGTTATCGTTAGACCGCATTCATACTTTGCGATAGAGGAGATCAGCGATTGGGAGACTCGGCCATATCAGAGATTGCGCGACAAGGGAGTTATAGGCATCGATGGGGCGAATGTGGAGAGACCGGCGTTTCGGACGACTGGGCGCTAAAGGAGTGGATGGGTATTGATCGGCGCCGGTCGATACCTCTGCTTTCCTCTCGTGCAATCGCCGAGTCATTTATCATTTATTTATTCGGCTGACGCGACAGAGCACAATCAACAAATAATGAGTTTCCCCAATCGCCGAATCTCCTCAGTCGCAAAGCATAAACGCGGTTTTCACTTCCAAGCGCCCAAATCCTGGCGTAAACTGAGCGCAAACAAACTCAGCTGATGTTTGGAAAAATCGTATAAATTAACCAGGCGAAAACTTACATCGCGTAACACAGCTGTCTTCCGCTGAAGTAAGATTATTAGTGTTGTATTCACGAACGCAGGATCCAAAACACTTCTCTGTTAGAATATTATAAACACTCAGGAACTCGCGAAGCTGAAAACTATTTTTATTCGTAAGAAAACTGTAGATGAGGATTCACTGAAGGATTACCTGATGTATGTCCTGAATGTTCATAAACACCTGCTCACCTCCGTAGTTCTGAAATATATTCAACTTGACTACAACATTCGAGTCTCATTAAGGACAAGAATTTCTCCGCTTCAATGAAATTCGGGCATTTGAAAATCGCGATTTAACAGTTCTTCGAGTCAGTAATCCCGCTCTTTCACAAGAAGTTCAGCTCGTGCGAAGAAACAACTGTGAGCCAGAGGACGAAGATTTTTGGACAGTTTGGCTTGGTTGGGGTACCCAATGGCACTCAACCCACCTTGTGAGGACCTGTTAATGCCTGGGCCATTGTGGCTAACTTGCCTCACTTCGCAGCTTCACAAGAGTTTACACGTCTTACCAAAATGAGACCTGTGAGTTGACGTTAACTAACGAAAGGTAGCCAAGTGCAAAATGCCCCTCCCAAGCCGGACAGTGTCGATTCTTGTGTGATGAGCCCAGAGGAAGCAGCTTGGGGTGTACACCCTTATGCAAAAAGGAAACTTAGGATAGCGTCCCAAACCGTTCAAGGCAAAAATCAACATCCTGCATAATCACAGAGACTAATGTCGGAACAATTACATTCGCACCATTATGTGTTCGGACCAGATAAGATTCAATAGCAAACAATGCCATGCTTAGGAAACCAATAATTTAAAAAAATAAGTAACTTGTGGGTTCTGCACAAATTGGTGTCTGCAACAATTTCGTACAAGGTATCGAAATTGTTTCTTCTGCTGTCAGGCGACTCTCACATTTACGTCAACTTTCTCCAACTCTTTCTCCCTCTTTCTCTCGGATTCTAGAAAAGGAACAGTTGCGCTGACCGTGAATGACTGTAGAGCGCAAAATCGAGAATGGAGCGCGACTACGTACGCTTCAGTTTGGCTAAACAAGAATGTCTTTGAGCGCCCATTTTGTCTTTTTTCTAGGGAGTTGCGGAGCGTTTTCTTTCCTCAGGCTGTGATCGTCTCTGCGAATGTGAAGCAGTGCGCAAATTTGGGGAATGTGTGAGTGCTAAGAACGCAGATTCTCCCGATGCGCGATTCTATACTTTCGCAAAGTATGAACGAAGGTCTCACAGTTCTTCCGAGGAAATCTTCATCTGCGCCTGAATCTTAGTACTGCTGGGAGTAATGAGCCGTAAGCTGTCCTCTTGTTGTGCCTGCTGCTATGCCTTGAGCATGAAATGCTCGCCGTTGCGCCTATTCAAAAATTTCGACCTTGGGTACGCCTGCAACTTTCTTCTTTCAGTTGATTTTAGTACCCATTAAACTGGGATGCGATCGCGCCCTTTCACCACCCACTATTCACTCTTTCGAAACCACTTCCTCACTTATATTTCGGTTCATTGGGAACTATACTTCAAAAAAGGGTCAGTCGGGTATTTCTGGAGACAGATTCAATAGGCATAAATCAATGGGCGGTTAATTTGAAGAATGCTAGCCAGGCGTCAGTAGCCTCTGAGTTGTCTGCTGAAAGCAGCAGCCGCAATGTAAATTGCCCTGAATTAATGACAGCACCGGAAGCACTGTTTTCCTAGTTCCCTGGAAGGCAAATATTAGCCTTCATCCCGTTATCAGGACGTTATTGCAGAAGCAACCGGTGATTGATGCACTCCGATAGCACTTTGGTGCTCTATTGTTTAAATTTGGGCATACTGTAGCTCTCCAGTCTTGGAAGCGGCGTACTGCATCGTGATTTGTGAAATGGCGGTGTCAGTACGATCCTCGTGTGGTCTGTGATTTCCTCATTCGGTCTCATACGAGCCCATTCCCTATCTTACCAACAGTTGTCATAACTTTCTGGTTTCTCCAACTTCCTATTGTTCTTTTCCGTTTTCCGCAAACCCTTTCACTTATCCAGCCTACATACGGCGGCCGTAAAAACCGGAAACCCACTCCCAAGCGACCACTAAGTATGCCCACGCCTGATGGGATTCCCCCGACGTGGCCTGCTTGTGGTGTAAATCTGTGTTATTTCGCCATCATTACGCTGTTTGTCTCCACGAATGGCTGGCTGGCGGTGTCCTCAGCCGTTTGAGGAAACCGCTCCGTTTTCTTCTTTCATCTTTCTAGCATTAACGTTTTCATGCTTCTTCAGCTGTTCATAGTGGCTTTTACATGATGATATCGTAGCTTTTCGAGCTTTATACGGACTTAAGTGGAATATGTTTCGTCATTTATCGCCTTCTTCGGGACCTAACAAAGTCGAAACAGTTCAGCTGTTCTCTAGTAATATCAACAAGGGAAAAGGAAAAAAAGATCATGGAATGAAAGCTTTGACCAAACTTCATTAGACATTAAGCTCCTCCTGGCACTCTAAGCATAGCTAGACTGTGCGAATGTACTGGAGAGCTGGAGCTTTTAGGTAAAACCATCAGTACTAACAGACTCCGAGACGGGCGATTTTTCCCGGTATTCTAGTCTAAATAAGGTCTGTATCAGTCTCGAGAGGCTAGGATCTGGGACTGAAAAAGATTTTCCAGATTTCAGAGCGCTTTCATACTTCCCAGTCCGATTGTTTGGATCGCGAGAATCAGAGTTTGGCTCGATTGGATCCGCAGTGTCACGCCGGAGCGCTGCACCGGTCAGTCGATCGGACCGTAGCGAGCCCATTGGATGCCAAGCAGATCGGATCGCGCGTGCGACTGCATAGCGCGGTCAGATCACCAAGTATGGGAGCGCTTTTGGTTTTTAACAGGGCACATCATTGGTTGGGGACTTTAGTCGACTCAATACGACCCCCCCCCTCTACAATCAGATTTGCCCCGAAGAGCAACTTCCTGCCCTTGCCCTTTTTTTATTTCCAAAATTTCCCCGGAAACTTCCTACTTTACGAAAATTTTACTGTTGAACGGCGGGCAGCATAGTAGCGTGAAACAGAGAAATTCACGCGAAAAAGTTCAACTGCGCCCAGTCCCACAAAACGCGCAAAACCCGTAAATACGACCCCCTACAAAAAATGGTCATACGACCCCCTGGCGATCAAATACAACCCACCCCCCCCGTTGGCATTCCCAAACAACGATGTACCGGCTGGTTTTTAAGGCCACTTTAGCCAGGAATGGAATGGTAGGGCGAAGCAGCCATTGAAAGTGGGATATACGGATGGGGCGTCACTTAGGATGGTCTTCTGTATCTGCCTGGCGGACTTGCCGCTGCCAGCGAAGTTACGATTTTTTTTTTGGCATGGGGGGGCAGACTCAAAACCGCACGTGTTTTTTGGATGGCTGCTTCTCAAATGAGACGTTGCGGCTCAAGTGAACTATGTAGTGTGGCAACCTCGCATTCCGAAACATACCTCATCCCCTCCGCCCTTTGTGTTGAATTGTACGTTCCTCGTGAAAAGCCTTCGTGCTCGTATCGCGAAGTATGGATGCGCTCTCAGGAGGTCTGTGGCGGACGTGTAGGACGACTTCGTAACCACCCCAAGGACCATCAGTCTATGTAGACCTCATTTAAAGCGGCCGCTGGGGCCTGTAATGTTTTCCTGGTAGATATGACATGCCCCTGTGCCCCTAGCTATCGTTCGAATCTCTTAGTGTTCTAAATCGAATGTCATCCAGCTTGACCCTAGTTTTCAGACCAAGTAGGCTGTCTGGCCATCAGAATGGATCCGGAAGCTTCGTATGGTGACGAGGGTCTCACAGCGTCTATATCTCTGAGGAGACGTTCAGCATCTTTCTCCGACGATTACTCGGTACAGCGCACTAATGATGATGCTACCCAGTGCAAATTTGCTGCTGTTCAGGTATTGGCTGATAGATTTCACTTTGAATTATTTCTTAATACCACAGTTTTCAGTTAGGATATTGGAAGGATGAGTTCCTGCCCCGATTTGCCTACAGCGGTGTACCAGAATCTAGACGTGATCCAGAAATCTCTATCGGCTACTGGGCTCGCGTCTCTGCTGTAAACCATCTGGTGGAGCGTTTCATTGAAAAAACCGAGGGACAATGCCAGATTATCAGTCTGGGTTGGTTGACGTTTGCCCCTGTGTTACCAGAGAATCCTGAGCATTTTGATCACCATGAGAAGTTTCAGGCTGTGGTTTCGACACGCTTTTCTGGCGATTGAAATCCGCTGGGAGGAAAATGAAGAAGTTTGTCGATGTTGATTTTAGCTCGGTGACGGCTAAAAAGATTCGCCAGATTCGCAAGCCTGGCTCACCAGATTTGGTTAGCCTCTTCAATGAACCACGTAGGTTTCTTGGGTAATCCACTTTCCTACATTTTCCTGCTGGCTTAAATTAAC